TAGAGAGGCCTGAAAGGCCTATGAAGCGGTATATAAGTCTACTGCTATTGCTATTGCTATATCCTGTTGCTTTCTGGTATATGTCATACTAGATACAGCTAGAATCAAAGCCCAGCCTGACTAGCAGCTGAACTCAGCCAATCTAGAGGGCTAGATCCAGTGGTGAAATCTATTTTTTTTTGCCCACCGGTTCTGTGGGCATGGCTTGGTGGGAAGTCAGGTGACTGGGTGGGCTTGGCCAACTTTTTAAAGCAATTTTTTTCCTGCCTATTCGCCCAAATAGGCAAGCAAAAAACGCTGTGAGCTTTGCGATCGGTGGAAGCTTTCCTCCGGCCACTTTTTAAAGCAATTTTTCATGCTGATTCGGGTGAATAGGCAGGAAAAAAATGCTTTAAAAAGTGAAATAGAGGGTCTAATGATCGTGCAGCTCAGCTGTGAGACAGGAAAAAATACTTCAAAAAGTAAAAAAAGATGGTTCCGATGATTGCATGGCTCACAGCTGATTTGCGCAATTGTCAGAACCATTCCCCCCCCCCCACACACTTTTTAAAGCATTTTTCCTCCCTGTTTGCCCGAACCGGCAGGAAAAAAATGCTTTAAAAGGTTTTTTAAAAATGGTTCCTACAATCACGCAGCTCACAGCTGATTCACACAATTGTTGGACCCATCTCCCCCCCACACACTTTTTAAAGCATTTTTTTACTACCGGTTTAGGTGAATAGGTAGTAAAAATGCTTTAAAAAGTGAAATAAAGAGAGTCTGACGATCGTGTGGCTCACAGCTGCGATTGTCCGAAGCTTTTTTTTACTACCTGTTCGTCGAACCAAGGACAATCGTCCCTACCAGTTCGGCCGAACCGGGAGCATTTCACCCCTGGCCAAATGTAACATAGATGAAGGCCAAGGCACCTGTAACAACAGTTTTTTTGGTTTTTTTTAGCATACCAGCTTGTTAATCCCGGAGATCAGCAATGCATATAAAAGGAAATCCACCACAAATACCTTGCAGTTTGCTAAATGCAGCTTGCTATGGAGCACAGCCAGTGTTTGATTCATCAGCGAGTAGGAGCTATTATTTCCATCCACGTTTTTCAGGCATAGTTCAGCTTCCTTTAAGAGTGTCTAAAAAGAAATGGGTGGTAGTGGTGGTGGTGAGGACATTTTCAGAACAGGTAGCCCAATAGCATTTAATAAGAGAATGTAGCTAATGTTTGACTACCAGCAATTCATCTCAACAGCCTAAAGACTCTCAAGTTGTGAAAAATCTTTTAAGGAGACTGTTCCTCCGTATGCCTTCCCTTCTAGAATGTAAGGTAGACTTTTCCTCTCGAGCAGCTTTATATAATAGAAGCAAAGGTGATGCTGCAACACGCTCCACATCAGGGGTGTCAAACTCACGCCCATCCCAACTCCGCGGACAAAAATGTTGCGATACATCACATGACAGTAACGTGATGCCACAACTGTTTAATTATTGTTCCACTAATTAATCGTTTTGTCAGGAAATTTCTTCTTAGTTCTAGGTTGCTTCTCTCCTTGATTAGTTTCCACCCATTGCTTCTTGTCCTGCCTTCAGGTGCTTTGGAGAATAGTTTGACTCCCTCTTCTTTGTGCCAACCNAGTTTCACCTTTTAAGTTGCATTACTGAAATAAATGAACTTTTGCACAATATTCTAATTTTTCGAGTTTCACCTGTATTTCTTATTCTTTAACCACCCATCTTTCCCTGTAAGATGGACTCTCCAAATGGCCACAAATGCTACCAGTGCACCTGCTCTAAGAACGTAGAACAGTTATTTTTAATTCTGCTTTTTTTTTTTTTTTCTCCCTACGCTCTAAGGTTTGAAAGTCAGTTTCTGGACCAGTTGAGGATCTTAAAAACCATTACCAAACTTCCTGCATGAACCGATTTTGCTGCCATTTTATAGTGTCCTTCCGGTTCTCTACCTATGGTAGGAAGCATATTGCACATGAAAGAAGAGGGGAAACACAGATTTTTTTTCACACTCACCTTGAACAGAGAGCTTCTGCCTGAGTGTCAGTGGGAGAGTGGAAGAAGGTAGGATAAGATAAGCAGCAGTTAGCTGGAGAGCACTGGCTCGCAGCAGATACCAGACCTTAGAAGATCTTTGCAAAGCTGGATTTTGAAGGATTTCTACCAACAGACTGAGGCCTTCTTCAATCTGTTCATAAATAGAAAAAGAGGAAGAAACCTCAATTTCTAAGAAAACTGTTCTCCATTCTGGAAATCAGCTAGCCGTTTTCAGCCATTCATGTTTCAGATGGTAAATGATTTGCTAAAAGAAATTTCTTGAGAATCACAAACTGCATATTTGTTAATAGATTGAATAAATTAAGGAAGTCAATTTCTTGCTTTCTACAGTAGTTTGCTTCCCAGAAAGTTGGTCACTTGAGGCCTTTGAAGTGCCAAGCTCAGGGTGCCAAAGAGACTGATTTCTTATTTTTCTAAGCCACATGCCTCCCTCTACACCAGTTTTATCATCTAGTTAATCACAGTTCTTGTTGTTCAAAAGGAAGGCCTTATATCTCATTGCTAGCTTGAAAATGTTTTTAATAATCTTTTCACAAAAGTATGCCAACAATCTTTCTAAAAAATAAAATGTTAAAAATAAGAGTAACATGACTGTGAAAATGCTAACAAGATTTACTAACAGTTAAGACTAAATTTATCAATACAGACTACAATGATTGCTGCACAGCCCTCAAGAATAACTTTAAAAAAATGATTTCCAGTTGATACTGCACAAAAATTCCAACTATCGCTCATCACTGATCAAGCTACTTGGAGGTAGTTCGGTAGCATCTGTAGGGACAGGGTGCATCATTTGTGGTACAGTTATGGTCATTCTAGGTATGGAAGGTGCCACTGCTATTCATTGTATAGATACTCAATTGGGTATTGTATATCTCAATTACCAGTTGTAATCTAGCTATGGCGAATCTCCTTGCCATTTCAACAAATAAGCACAGCTGAAGAAGTAGTATCTAGGCATAGAATGGTAACTATTACAACAGTCTCCTTTTGTGACTCTACAGAAGCAGGATATCTGAGCCAAGGTGGCGCAGTGGTTAAATGCAGCACTGCAGGCTACTGCTAGATCAGCAGGTCAGCGGTTCAAATCTCACCGGCTCAGGGTTGNATTTAATCTAATTCATCTTTGAATTTAACAGTTCCCTTCATCCAATAGCAATATAAATCTCCTCACCAGAATCTGCAGATAGATTAAATGCAATGCCAAGATACAGGAACTTGTCATCGTGGGATTTATCCTCATATGTGAGATCATTGGTTTCAAAGTTCTGAAGAACTTCCACGTCTTTTTGTCCCTGAGTATTTCTGGTTCTCTGCTCTTGCTTGATACTCTGTTTGAGAGAGAAGAACTGACATTAAACCAACCAAGTATTGCAAACAGGATACTTGGTATGTAAGTAAGTCAGACACGTATGTAAGCCATAAGGTGTTCTTGCTCTCTCTGTCTCATTCCTCTATGTCCCAGATGCCACTATTTTGGATAAGAGAACTTCAAAGCTACCAGAGATTTCATTGAGCCTCTCCTGCAAGATGCATTATATTATATGCTAGCGGGGAACTTGTTTTAAATCCAAGTAACCATCTGCAAATGAATTCTTGAGATATATCATTTAAATTCATACAAAATAGCAATGTGGCAATTACTCTCCTTTTGATGATGGTAGTTATTGTTATGTTTGGTCACACAGTCAGCCAGATGTTTTTATATACCTATTGAGTCCTTCCAAAGAACCTGGAATAGGCAGATGCCGTAGGATCCCAGTCTTCTGCTTTCTAGGCCAGCACCTGAACCCACTACACCCAAGTGCTTCTTTTCATCCTTTAACAAACTTTACCTCAATAATAATCATTATTATTTGTTGTATCATGGCAACAAATTCTTACATTGACCAGTCCATTGAAACAGTTCAATGTTTAAAGAAGATGGAAAACACCTCTGGGACAGTGTATACCTCAAGCAAGGAGCATGCACATTATTGTAATCAACATTTCCAAATGTTGGAAGGCTAAGAAATGATGTGAAACACCTTTGCTGGAATCCTTGGAGAACAGTGCTAGTTTGAAAGCTAGTCAATCAACATAGGTTGCCAAGCCTTTAAATGTCTTCAGTTTATTCTCACTGGACTGTTCGCTTTATGATTTTGTATACTGATAGTCCTCGACTTAACGACCGTAATTGAGCCCAGAATTAGGGTCATTCATAAATCATGCTTTACGTTAGGCAGGTCATTGCCCAATTTTAATAGACTTTTTTGCAGAGGGCATTCAGTGAATGCTGCAGTCATTAAACAAACACTGCGGTTGTTAAGCAAACCCTTTTAACCAATGGGCATTTTTTGCCAGAAACCAGAAGGAAAAGCCAGTGTCAGGGTGGGTGGGGGGTGGAGGGTTGCTACAAATTGTGGTCATATGATCGCAGGACACTGCAAATGGTGATGAATGCAGGCTAGTTGTCATGCACACAAACTATAATCACATTATTGTTGGGGTGGTGGTGATCAGAACTAGAAAGATCATACCAGGTCATAAGTAACTGGGAAACTTTGAACGGCTACTAAGTCACTGTAGTTACTTCTAAAAGATTCTCCTTGCTTCCTATTATATATTCTATACTGGATTGGTACATTTTCAAATAACCTTAAATTATAATGTCATTTAATATTAGGAATATAGTGAAATAAATATTTCTGCATACTTTTCTCATTTTTAATTAAAATAAGCTAAGATTATGTTCCTTCCAGTGGCTTTCTTACTTGTTTTAGTCCCCCTGCTCTCTGGAGTATAGAATACACACAAACCAGAATTTAGTTGGCTGAGTTTTGTGCTATTTTGCTTTAAGACACATACCTCATGCATTTTGTCCTCAACTGTGCAGATATAAAGCCAAAGTAAAGCCTGGGCCTTATCATCCTGAAGCTGTTCATCATTCTGTGGAGTCTTTGGCACATATTCTAACAACCTCAGGGCTTCATTTATAGAGTCCAGAGCAGAACTGCAAGAGAGAAGACCTAAACAATCATTTCAGTCATGATTACGGACAATTGCTGAGAATTCTTTTTGTAATTGGGCTCTCATATGCTCAGAAAACATAAATGATATGGTCAGAAGATTGCTTATTCATTTCTAGTTAATTCAGCCAGCATTCTCACCAGTTCTAGATTATTATATCTAAGTGCATCCAATCCATGTATAAATAACTGATAAGATCCTTCCCTTTTTTTCATAAGAGACGCAAGTACTTTAATCAAAAAGTATGGCAATAGCAGCACCTAAAATATACAAAGGTCCAGTACCCTAATTATTAGTATTAGTATTTTTGAAGTAGCAATTGATCCTTACGTACATCAGTTTTGCAGCATCAGCCAGCAAGCTTTGTTAGCAAGCAAGGTTGATTCTCTTGCAACTCATCTCCAGCTCTACACTGAAATGTCTAGTCTCAAACCAGTGAAAAGACAAAACCAAGGGAAGGAAGTCAGGATACTAGAAACGAGACACTGCAGCTCTGCAGTTTCCACTCCAAGTTCTTTTTTTAATACTGAGCATCACTTCAATGGAGCGGTGTCCAAAGTAGGACTTGAGGTAAATCATACAGCTATCATCAAATTTTACTAAATACATACTCACCATTCTGTCTGCTCACTATAATCATGATAGCACAGCACCTGTGCCAATTCTACCAGGATAAAAGCTCTTTCATGGACCCATGGGCTGCCTTCTGAACATATATCTAGGAGGTCACAGATCACATTGAAGCGCTCTTGGCCAGTGTCAACTCGCACAGCTTTGTATGCCTTCAGTTCCTCCAACAGCACTTTCACAAGGATCTCATCTTCTAAGGGATACTCTTCAAGACCTTCCTTCAGAGTTCTGTAATCAATATAGAAGGCAAACAAGAATAGAAATTAGAAAGACGTAAAACAAAGACATGCAGCCTCTATCAACCATAGTGTCACACCATGCTTTGTACAGTATTTTGAGGGCTTCATTTCATGTAAATGGGCAGAGATACTTGTTTCACTGTAAAAAAAAAATTGTGTTTGGATTTTTTAATGAACTTTTTTTTATATAACAGCATTTTTAAGATGCAAGTTATCTTTTTCAAGAGAGTGCTTTAAAATTGATATTTTTCAGTATCAGTTTTTTTTAGGGTCGTTTCCCCCCTCCCCCCAAAAAACCCCCTATAGTCACTGAAGATGGCAGCGTCTAGCCAATCTTGGCAGACTTTGAAAAAGCCAAGCAGCCTTATTAAACAGCAATCCATCATAGAAAACATCTGGCTGGTTAAGGCATCAAACAACAGTCTTTCCAAATTTATCTTGACAGCTCACATTTGCCTCAACTGGCATGGCCGGTGCTAAAGGACACTGATATCTGGGATCCTTCAAGTACCAGAATTTCCATGAATAGAAGCCCTCTTATTCTGGATAGGCCCTGAATAGGAGGATGACCCCTTGTAAACATGCAAAACATCCCAAACATGGAACATCAGTTTCAGGTGGTGAGGGCATATATATTTTGAATGTGTGGGGTTCATACATACAACAAAACAAGGATGTTTTGATGACACTCTAGATCAAAAAAACTGTTATTTGTGACAGAAATGCTTTTGGGGATGGGGAAAAAGAGGTGAGGGAGATAAGGATATTATTTGTGATTGAAGGGAGATGGGGCAGCAGTGATAAAATTATGGGTACAGGCCAGTCAGCTGTACGATGCTGGGACATTGANAAACCAAACCAAACCAAACCAAACCAAACCAAACCAGTTGCAGTTTGGAAATTATTGCTGGACTTAAATAACCTATGCTTCCCATTTCTCCCTAAACAGGAAACAAACTCAAGTTGCAAGCTTTACTATTCAGCCAGTCCCTAAGCTGACAAAACAAGCAAAGCATACAAGTATAATGCTGGAGATTCTCATTTCAATGAAACTGAACAAAAACTGAAACTGTTAGTACTTTATTAACAATGTTATGGCCATTATCTTCCAAATAAAGTTACCATAGCTATTGGTCGCCAGCTGACCATCTCCTTTGCTTTCTTTCTGATTTGAAAAAAAACTTTCAAACATAGAAACAGAAATAAAGAGAATTATCCTACGTATGGCACATCATATTTTATTCCTTTGCAAGAATTCATTCAAAATGCCAACTCAATGTTTTGGAAAGCTGTTCCATTTTAAAATAAGTATACAGTATAGGACAGTGCTTGTTTTGGTGGAAAGTTGCATCATCTACTTTTTCTATTGTTCCTGCACTGAAAATTACAGAACTGTAAGAAAAAGGAACAGCGGCAAGAAACTAGAAAGTCAGGATTCTAAGAATCTGCTACTCATTTTAAAACCTTTATGACTAATGTTCCTACTGTGTTTTTTAAAAACATGAATATACTGACAGACTACAATCTCAAAAAAAAAATCATAAAATGCTACAGAGATACAAAACATTTTTATTTTTAAAAGCTTGGGGATCAAGAGGAGCGATCTAGAGATGCCACGTTGCCAATTCGCACCCTTTTATGACAGTCAGTGGGTAAAAAAGTACAGGTGGATGCACGAATAAAGCCACAAGTAGTCCTTGTTTAGCAACCTCCTTGTTTGCAAATACAGTAATAAAAATAAAAAATAATAATTTTCTCACCAATATTTGCATTAATACCCAAATTTTGATGCCTGACAACACATGCTGGAGAGTAACATTGGCATTGCAACCATGTTGCTTAATAGCCACTTCCCCAAAAGCAATTGGAGTTGCTTAAATGAGTAGTACCTGTACTTTAAGCTTATTCTACGGCTAATATACTTCCCCAAACTCCTTCGTATATTTTGAATTCGTTCTTGCAACTAGCATTAACAATTCCACCACCATGCATACATTTGGGAAACCTGCAGAGCTTCAACTGTTCTCCCCACTAGCTATGGTGCAAGGCGAGGGATGCTCCATCCCTTCCTTCAGTAGACTAGCGATTCATAGCCAGTCAAGGTTAAAATTAATGATGCTCTTTGGAGCGGGAGCCCCCAACCTGTGGGCCGTGAGGGGTTTGCAACTGAGCCACAGAAAAGGTCCTTCAACTGTGCACGCATATCCTTACTTGCACACTCTATTTAAGTGATCAGCAGGTGCACGCCCACATTGCTCGCGCAAACCGCTGCTTGCCAACTGCTCGATGCAGAACCATCTTCTTTCCTCCCTCCCACTGGTCCACAAAGCCGGAAACATTGGGGAACTCTGTTTTAGAGCAGCTCAATCTAAGATCATTCTAAGTTATTATAACTAAGCGGAATAGTTAATCTTGCTTGGAAATTTTCTACCTATGTGGTAACACTGCGTGCTTGAGAACAAAACAGCAGGTTGTTTATTACTATAAGCAGCAACAAGTTGAAGACCACTTTTTCTCCTATAATCTGATTGGGAAGAGAGTTGGGGTTAGGGTTAGAGAGTTTGTAGTCAGAAGAGCAAAAAAGATGCATCACATTTGTGAGGTGCATAAACAGTTGACACCTCTCATCTTCTCTAATTCCTGAGGCCCAAGGCATTACCCAAGTACAGATAGACCTAGATTTATAACAGTTCACTTAGTGACCATTTGAACTTACAACAGCACTGAAAAAAGTGACTTGTGACCGTTTTACACATTTATCATTGTTGCGGCATCTCCATGGTTATGTGATCAAAATTCAGATGCCTGGCAAATGGTTCATATTTATGATGGTTGCAGTGTCTTGGGGCCATGTGATTAGTTTTTGTGACCTTCTGACAAGTAAAATCAATGGGAAAGCCAGATTCACCGTGTTTCTAATTTAAGAACTTCAGGGATTCACTTAACAAATATGCTGACCAAAGTTGTAAAATGAGTCAAAACTCACTTAACAAATTTTAGCACCATAAATTTTGGGCTTAATTGCGGTTGTAAGTTGAGAACTACCTGTATTCCAGACAGGCAAGAGAGGGTTGGAGTAGAAAGGAAAGGAAAAAAAAAAGAGTGAACCTCAAGAAAGCTGAAGGAGCAATTTATACAAAATTCCCAGACGAAATTCCCAGCATTTAATATACCTTTCCCATCATTCTGTATAAAGCTGCCATGATATGCAGGGATGCTGCTGTCTGCTCAATGCTCCGCACAGCTGGGATCCTGCCTTTTGATAGGAGCTGTTTCCATAAGGCAAGGGCATCGTCCAAACATCTGGATTGCACTAGAAAGAAAGCAAAGGTTTAGGCAAAGACAGATTACAAATTTAATAGGAATATTTTAGCTCAATTCTACCCTTCAGCATAGGCAGAATAGGCTCAGTCCATCATCAAAAATATATTATTACTGCTCAAAAGCAAAAAAAAAAAAAAAAAAAATTGGACAAAAATACATACATGACTGGAAAAAATGATAAAAAGTGATAAAGCAGCATATTGATTTAAAGCCAGAAATATTCTTGTTGGGGATTTTACCCGAAAAATATAGTAAGGGGCATACATATTTAATTAACCCTATATTAACTGCAGCTAGAATTGTATTTGCACAAAATTGGAAAAGTGAAGAGATCCCCACAGTTGACGATGTGATCAGGAAAATATTAGAATGTGCAGAAATGAATAGCAATTAGAGAAAGAACAAACTGAATACTATATGACCGGGATGGCGAACCTGTGGCACGCGGAGCCATTTGTCAGGGCACGCAAGGCGTTGCCCTGTCAGCTGGCCAACACACATGCGCACGCTAGCCAGCTGAGTTCAGCCTTTTTTAAAGCCATTTTTCGCCCTCCCTAGGCTCCAGAGGTTTTATAGGAGCCTGGAGAGGGCGAAAACAGCCCCCCCCCCGCCCCTGGAGGCCCTCTGAAGGCTTCAGGAGCTTCCCTGAAGCCTCTGGAGCGCAAAAAAAAAACCAACAACGGCCCTAAGGGCAAACAGGAAGTTTGGGAATGGACTTCCAGTTTCCTCGTAGGGTCCTTTTTAGCCCTCCGGAGGCTTCAGGGAAGCCTCCTGAAGGTCCCTGAAGCCTCCGGAATGCCTCTGGGAGGGGGGGGGGGGGGGGGGTTGTTTTCACCCTCCCCAGGTTCCTATAAAGCCTCTGGAGCCTGGGGAGGGCCAAAAAAGCATGGAAAAATGGTGGGGAAGTGCCTCTCATGCACGCATGCGCACTGGGTGTGGGTCGCGTGTTGCATTATGGGTGTGGCATGTCCAAGCATGACCCCCCCTGAGCTCCCCCCACCATGGCACACGAGCCAAAAAAGGTTCGCCATCACTGCTATATGACATGGGACTTATTGTATCAATGGTTACATAACAAAAACAGAAGTTAAAAACATGGAAACAAAAGAAAAAGATGAGTGAAATAAAGAAATACGTTAAGAGAGGAAAGTATTATTATGTTTAATATTTTCATTTTAATATTATAGAATTTATGAATATTAGTTAATGAATATTGCTGTAAATCTTGATTATCATTTTACAAAGATATTTGTACCCGGAAGACACACTGTTTAATTGAAGATGGAATTATCATATTAAAAAATAATATATGTATATTATTACTAAGATTTGTGCCATCTGAACAGAAGAGAAGTTGTTTGGAAATAGACCAAGTCATGTCTGATATCTGTTACAATTCTATCACCAAATTTTGGTAAAGTTGTCTAAGGAGAGGAAAGCATGAAACAATTGCAAAACTATATTTGCTTTTTGCTAATCAAGTAATGTTGGGTGAAGTCCAGTGGTGGGTTCCAGATCCCGTTGCAACTGGCTCAGTGCAATGGGGCTGAGTGTCCACCACATGATCGTGCGCAGCGCTCATGCACGCACATACAGCATGCGCATGCATTCTTAATGCCTGCAACGCTCTAGCTGCTCGGCGGAGCATCACGCAGGTGGCGTACGCTCCATGCACGTAAGCCCCAAAAACCTCAAATATGGGCGAGTGTGGGCAGGCCCTCCGGAGCACCGTACCGGGACAGTACCAGGGGCTCCCATACCGGGGCATACCGGTCGTAACCCACCACTGGTGAACTGCCAGAATACAGATCGTCAGTGATTTACAATGTTTAGTGACCGTTCAAAGTTACAACAGCACTGAAAAAAAGTGACTTATGGCCATTTTTCACAGTTATGAAAGCATCCTTTTGATCATGTGATCAAAATTCAGATGCTTGGCAACTGACTCATATTTCTGATTGTTTCTGTGTCCCAAGGTCAGGTGATCCTCTTTTTGCGACCTTCTGACAAGCAAAGTCAATGGGAAAAGCTGGGTTCATTTAAGAACCGGGATACTAACTTATCAACTATAGTGATTCGCTTGACAATTAAGGTAAGAAAGGTCCTAAAATGGAGTAAAATTCACTTAACAAATGTCTCACAGCAGAAATGTTGGACTGCATGTGGTCATAAATCAAGGATTGCCTGTATGTGCATTTCTACAAATAGCCAGACCCAACCTTAACCTTTGTCTTTCTCAGGAGCTCATCCGCTAAGAAACCTGAGAAAGAACGGGTAAAATCATTCCCTGAGCAGCACAGAGCTGCTGAAGCCATTTGCCTAATAACCTCAGCTGCGAGACACAGGCAAACAATACATATGCCCACTCTGCACAGCTTGAAATTCACTTATTTTGGTTTTTTTCCAGCCTGTTGCCTCCCATATGGATAAAAACATTGAGGTAGTAAGAAACTCTCCTTTACTACCCTTGTGTAAGGTAACAGGGTTAACAATTGAAACAATGTACTTCTTAATCATGACATGGAATGTTGCTCCTTGGCAAAGCCTGAATCTGCATTACGAAACACTCTTTCTTCTAAAAAAAGGTTGTGTTTATTGTTATTGTTGCTACACACTGCATACTTTTAGATTATGCTCATTTGTTTTTAATACTTTCCAACAAAAAAGCTCCTACAAAGAACAAAAACTGAAATTAAGAAATATTTGTTTTATTGTGTAAAGTGGTAGAAGTTGGTTGTGAAGCCTAGACTTAGAGTTCCCGTTTTCTATTTGAGTGTTTCCAGTAGAAAATTTCCAAGCAAGATTAACTATTTTGCTTAGTTATAAAGGTTCAGAATAATATTGGATTGAGATGATCTAAAAAGCATCACTGATTTTAACTCTGTTTGGATATGGAAAAATGTTTTTCTAATATATTTTTTAAGAGTTTTAATTACAGTAGTAAAAATTATACAAACTAGAGAAATAAGAGAATGGAAAAAAGAACTAAAAAAGAAGAAGAAAGAGATAAAGAAAAATAAATAAAGAGAAAAAAACAAAAGAAAAAAGAAATTTATAAAGAAGTGNTATTAGCAGAATAAAGCAGAATAAACAGCTTCCATATTTTGGAAATAGGGGGAATGGGGGATTTTGAAATGCTTTCTTCTTATGATGTCTTTGAAAGAAAAACCAAACTTGATTTATAAACCATTTCCAAATGCCTTTCTCTTCCTCTCCTATGTAATTAACAAATACTTGTACTGTTCAATCTCTGAGCCCTGAGCTTTGCAAAGCTCCTGCATAGTTCTTCCAGCCCTTTGGATGTCCTTCTCTCCCTCTGCCAAGAAAGGCATAGGGACAGCTATTCATAATTGCTTTGGAAATGTCATACGGATTTCAGAAGAGAATTAAGGGAGAGCAGTGAGGGAAGACTGGTTGATTGGCAGAGGAAAGGAAGAGCTTAGAACATCATCAGAGTTGGAAGGGACCATGGAGGTTTTCTAGCCCAATCCCCTGCTCAAGCAGGAAACCCTATACCAGGTGAAACAAATGGCTGTCTAGTCTTTTCTAAAAAAACTCCAGTGAAGGAGCACCCAAAACTTTTGAAGGGAAGCAGTTCCACTGATTAATTGCTCTGAGTGTCAGGAAATTTCTCCTTAGTTCTGGGTTGCTTCTCTCCTTGATTAGTTTTCATTTGTTGTTTCTTGTCTTGTGTTCTGCTGCTTTGGAAAATAACGCCCTCCCTCTTCTTTGTGGCAGCCTTTCAAATATTGGAACACTATTACCAAGTCACGCCAGTCCAATGGTGGGATTCAATTTTTTTTACTACTGGTTCTGTGGCCGTGGTTGGATGGGTGTGGCAGGGGAAGGATACTGCAAAATTCCCATTTCCTCCCGATCAGCTGGGACTCGGGAGGCAGAGAATAGATGGGGGTGGAGCCAGTCAGAGGTAGTATTTACCAGTTCTCCAAACTACTCAAAATTTCCACTACCGGTTCTCCAGAACTGGTTCAGAACCTGCTGAATACCACCTCTGCCCCAGAGGCAAAAAACGGACCTGGTTTTGGCTTCCAGAGGCCTCCGCACATCCCATTTTTGGCCTCCCTGGCCTCCAGAAGGCAGGTGAGGGCCAACGGATAGGTGGGGTGATATGGGTAGGGCAACCTCATAATCCCGTGTGGGTGGGATTAATGGCTTCAGTGGGCCTTATCCGGCCTGCAGGCCATAGTTTGAGGAACCCTGGTCTAGACTTATACTTCTTCATATGCCTAACCAGAACTTTATAGGAGTCTGTCACTTATTGATCAGGTGTGAATAGCCACATTAAGTGTTATTTAACGTTACATTTAAAGCCCTCGGACTAAATACTTTCTCTCCAACTGTTGGCTTTACTGAAATTGATTTGGATGGCAATGACAGCATTTTCAGGGTGGTGGCACAATCAGCTGCATTCCATTTTTCAAATGGCAGTAACAGATATTCATCAGGAAAGACATGTACCTGGAATGAATGCTGGCCTCTAGCTGTACCACCACCTCCTCCACCCCTCCTTGCCTAAAAGGCATGGAGTTGCACATTGTCATTATCAAAGCATTTGCTAAGACTAATCTGGGCCTTGTATAGGATTCAAGAGGAAACTTTTTCCTGGGGATCTGGTGGGTAGTTTGAGGGAGGCCTTAGTTACCACCTGGAATAGGTGGGTCTCAAGAGCCTTGGATTGGTGTCCTCCCACTTGCCAGTGCTTCCCAGTTGTGTGAGGAGGTCCAGGAAATGAATATAGCAATAGCAGTAGACTTATATACCGCTTCATAGGGCTTTCAGCCCTCTCTAAGCGGTTTACAGAGAGTCAGCATATTGCCCCCAANAACTTTGAAACGCCATCCACAAATAAATGAATTACAGATTTCTGTGACTTGGCTCTACTTGAAAAGGATGGACTTCTCTTTCTCTCTGTGTGTGTGTTGTGGCTCAGATGGAAATTTTTAGCACAAGTGATGGCAGGATGGAGGAGGGGAAGGGAGAGGTGGAAATGTCATTTGCCTCAAGGTTGCCCTTGGTCCATAGAGCATGCCATGAAAACCAGACTGATTGCTGGAATGACCTTATTCTTATTTTTATTCTCTCTCTCTCTTTCTCTCTCTCTTCCTCCCCCTCCCTCTCACTCTCTCACTCACTCACTCACTCTCTCTCTCACACACACACACAGAGGGGGGGAGAGAGAGGGAGGGAGAGGGAGAGGGAGAGAGAGAGAGATCCTAGCAGAGCAGTCTTCTGTGGTAAGAAATTGCCAGTATTTCGCTCTCTAGAAAGAGTGCCAGAGAGCCCTGCAATCATTCTCTCCCATCTCAAACCAAGGAGAGAGAAGAGGGCGAAAGTTTGTTTCTTTCTCTTTGTCCCAAACCATGTGAAGACTTTTGGCCTTAACCTTCCAGTTGTGAACTCGGCGGAATTGCTGGCTCACGTCATTCCTGCACAAGTTGTGTCTGCTTCACTCTGCCTTATCTTGGTTTTCTAGGTTGCCAATCTTGGTTCCAACACTTGGCTTGCATTTTAAAAGGGTATTTTTGTGGTCTCGAGCTGCAGAAATGTGCTGCAAAGAGCAAGCTGCCAGGCCTGTTTTCCAGCTGCAGATGGGAACCTCGTTTTCCTCACTCACCCCACCTCCCCCCCCCCCATTTTGCAGGGCTCCCTCTTTGCTTTGGCTTGGGGATGTGCCTGAGAAAAAATTCTGTGACTTGGGCTGCTTCTTAGCTTAGTCATGTTTTCTATCTGAAGTTAAAATAGAAGAAAACCTAGGTTGCTTTTGGAGATTCTGAAGGCTTTCTTAAGGCTGGATGACCTGGGTTCAAGTATCTCCTCCACCAAAGGCCTCCTGCGTGGTTCTGGCATCTAATGGAGATTTTAAAGAGTTGCAGAATTCCACCACGCAGAAGTTTAAGACAGAGAAGTCAGTGCAGATGAATGGGAGCAGAGAAGGAGCCAAGAGCCAGGAGCCAATTCTCTGCTGGGTGAGCCTTCCTGCGGGGAGTCGGATAGGCTTCATGAACTGCAAGAGTGAAGCAGGTCAGCAGAATGTAGATGAGGGATGTTTGCTGGATGGCCAACCCTCCCCACTAGTTGCCCCTTGGGAGAAAGGCATTGAGCTTGCCACAAAACAAGACAAGGATTCTGAAAGCAGCTGCCAGGTGCTTGCTGGCTGGAAAGTCCACCTTTCACTTCAGATGATTTTTTTTTAAAAAAACTGTAAACAATGAATTGAATACTTTTATTTGGTCAAGTGTGATGAGAGACACAAAGAATCTTTGGGAAGAACAAGAGCTCCATGTCAGCTCTGTTTACTGGGTCTGACTTGCAGCTGGAGCACTTGCCTGCTTTCTCCCAGTGGTCAACACATTTGGGACAACGTGATTGGAACTCATTGCTTTGGAGTCCTTCTTAATCCTGGAGTCCCAAAAGAGGTTAGAAAGCTTTTTTGCAGAGTGAAATTCAATTTTTTAAAACTACCGGTTCTGTGGGCATGGCAGGAGGCGAATACTGCAAAATCCCCATTCCCACCCCACTCTTGGGGGAAAGATATTGCAAAATCTCCATTCCCAACCCACTCTGGGGCCAGCCGGACGTGGTATTTGCCCGTTCTCTGAACTACTCAAAATTTTGCCTACCGGTTTTCCAGAACCTGTCAGAACCTGCTGGATTTCATCCCTGCTTTTCTGGCCTGTCACAGAGAAGATTAGAAACAGCTTCAAGGGAAGTACCTATGTTTAGAAGTCCATCCTAGTTTGTGTGCTCAGTCTCTCTGGAGTACCCACTGCCTGGCCTGGTGGCCTACCGCTGCATTCTCTCTCTATTATGCTTAGGAAGATGTGCTGGAATTATTTGCCAGGTGCAACTTAGCCTTGGAAGTGCTCCAATTTGCAACTCTTTAGACTTCATTAATTGTAATCCGTCCAGAAAACATCCTTCATCTTGACATCTTCAGTTTCATCTAACTTCTTCTTCTTATTTTACTTTGCAAAATGAAGGCATTGTTGGTTATAATGAGCAGCTTGCTGCTGCAATCTCAGCTCAGGTTTGCCAGTTTTTGAGCTTTTTGACTCAATGTGTGTTTGACAACTGTTTTCTGGACAATGTAGAAAAATAGATATTATACCCNAGTGCTGCATTTAACCACTGCGCCACCTTGGCTCTAAACCAAGGAAATGGCCAGCTGGGTGCTGGTGGAGAAAGATGGTGAGAGTCCTTGACTGAATACCAGTAGGGGCCTTTTAAGGGATTCTACCAAGGCACTCTTCTTATGCTACAGGGGTCAAGAACGCATAGTATCTATAGACAAGCCTCAATGTGCCCAACTTCCTGAACTTCATTGGATGAGAGATGGCATGGCTTCTCTGTGCTGCTGCCTGCCGTCTGCACCTTCCAGAGATTTGAGTAGCATCAGGACTGTCATCCTTTAGACTGAGCTCCTGCCTCTTTTCCCTGGGCAGTGAATTAGGGATGTATGTGCCTTTCATGAACTGGTTATCCAAGGCCTTCTTTTTCCTTGTGTTTGTAAGTTCTGCCCTGCCACAGTCACTAGGGAGAGATGGCGGGCTTGTAGTTTCTCCCCCTCCTTCCCTTAAAAGAATTGTCACCCCCAGCCAGGAATCACCAGGCAGCAGAATAGTGACTGGAAGTTGGAAGACCTTTCAGACCTGCTATTTTCAGCACGCAACTGAATACAGACCTGTCTATATTTAGTTGCTGGAGAGATAACTTTAATCTTTTCTGAATGTCTCCTTGGGTTGTTGTCCATTCTGGTTTTTTTAAGACTTGCAAGGTAATTCTTTAGTCACGAGGAAAACTCTTCCCCATCTTGTAACTGGCATAAAAAGCTTTGTGGATTTTCACTGAAGAGCAAAGCAGTAAAAAAAAGTGGTTGTATTGGACAAACGAGAACATAAATAACAGTCTGAGGAGGTTCAGAGGAGTTTATCTTGGGACTCATAAGAGCTGTGAGTTGTAAATCTTTTTTCCACACTTCTGGTGTGCCTTATACAGCCATGGAGTGGACATCCTCCCCCCTCCGTCCTGTGTGCCAGTGTATGGGTCCCTGAAATAGTGCAGGAAAAAAAACAGGTGTCTGAAAAGAGAAAGAGAAGAAAATCTTGTATCTGGCAGAATCCATGCAGGGTCCACCTGCTTCCATAAGAGAGAAGGCATAGCTAGCAAGCACATGGATTGCAGTCTTCAGCTCAAGCTCTTAGGGAAGCCAACTCCTCCTGTATCCAAGGAAGAGATAGAGCTTAGGATCTGCTTTGTATACAAACCCTCCCAGGTGGGATCTTTGCCGTCTGTAGGTGGGCTTGGAAAGAGCCCAGCCCCACATCCTGCCAGCCAATAGAGAGGACTGGATTTGGACAGACCAAAGTCTGTGTTGGTAGGAAGAGGTTTGCTATAAACCTGTTCTGGAAATCTTTTCCTGATGGATCTTGTCAAGTAGTCAAAGTCAGGAAATAGATTTTGCCAATAAGGGCAGCTGAGTGCCAACAGCTTATAGGATGGAAGGCTTTTGTTCATACCATGAGGCAGTGACGTGCGGTGAGGTTTATGGCTGGTGAGGCAGTCTTCTCCCTCTACATCCCACTGTCTAAAGCGCTTTCTTTCTTTTGCCCAGAAGCGGGCAGCTCAGGCGGGCTGCTGCCTCTGGGCAAAAGAAAGAAAGCAGCAGCCTGCCGCTGGCTTTCTTTTGCCCGCCACTATGTCCAACATAGAGGCGGGCAAAAGAAAGTCAGCAGCAGACTTTCTTTCTTTTGCCCAGAGGCAGGCAGCTCAGGCGGGATACCACCTCTGGGCAAAAGAAAGAAAGTGCCAGCCTGCCAGGCTGTCTGAGCTGCTCACCTCTGGGCAAAAGAAAGAAAGTGGCAGCCCGTCAGCAGAGGCGGGTAAAAGACCCACCTCTGCTGGCGGGCTGCCCCGGACAAAGAGAAAGAAAGCTAGTGGGCTACCCTCCCTGCCTCTCCCCACTTCCCTCTCTTCACTCTCAAACAAACTCTCTCTCAAATTGAGAGTTTATTTGAGTGAAGAAACAAACACACGAGCACACACACACACAAATTACTTACAATTACTTACCAATTACATNTGTATCCCCCTTCCCTGGTTGAGTTGTGAGCCGCCCTGAGTCCCCTTCGGGGGGGAAAAGGGCAGCATATAAATAAAATCAACATTCAACATTATTGAAGGCATTCTCATTTTGTTTATTAAGTCCAATTAGAGCTAATCCCTATTTTTGATCTAGAAAGGTGGCAACTCAGGCCATTCAGTCATTAAGGAAGTGGTATTTAGTTCCGCATAGAGATAAGATATGAAAATGAAGAAACATGAATGGTTTCTTGGCTCAGTTGTCTTCAGGTCTCAACTATAGTATTCATGATGTTTGTTCAATCTTCAAAGAATTTTCAACAGGAAGCAGTAAAAACTCTTTGCAGAATTTGGTAACTATTTTTGTGCGTCTTCAAAATTGTGGCCAAACGTTGGATCGTCGGGAGGAACTGTTTTATTGTTCCCAAAATGGTTACAGAGCTTGAGTTTATTTTGCAGTTTCCCCAATTGTGTTGCGGCAGCTGCCACACTGCCTGTCCAGCATGGCTTTTGCAGGACAAATGAGAGAAGGATCTAGAAAAAAGCTAGGATAAGTTGAAGTGTCTTCCTTCAAGGATCCAGGTAGCCAATGGTTAAAACTATAAATTACTAGTATCCTCAGTACAATTAGGTTTGAGTTTGAGATAGTCGGTATCACGTTAAGACAATTTCCCCCTTATTTTTAAAATTAATAATAATGTGCCTTCCTCAACTTCTATTATATATTCTAAGTTGGTATTTGGTTATGTGGTGGTTGTAGGATTAGCATGACTTCAGTCCTTCAGTGTTGTCCCTAATTTAGTAGGATGCCCCTCTGAACACCTCCGGTTCTTACGGGGCTGTTGCTCCAGAGAAAACTCTGTGTGCTTTGAATGCCTCATTACCACAAGAGGGAAATGGACTTGTTCCCTGCACTTTAAATGAAATAAAACAGCAAAGAAAATCTATTCGTTTGTTGTATTGCAGTACCTGATTGGCCACCCTATATATCCACCCATACTTTTCAGCTGCAAAGTATTTTTGAAATGCATAAAATCTAGCAAGGCAGAAAATCTAACCAGGGAAAGTTAAATCAATGTTAATTGAATCCCTTAAACCCCTTCAGGAAGGTTTGTTCCTGATTGGCAAGAAGTCAGAAGTATTTAAAATAAATAAATAAATAATCCTTCCTTTCTCAGGGAAGAAAGCTTTTTTTTTTTTGGAACTTTGAAACGCCATCCACAAATAAATGAATTACAGATTTCTGTGACTTGGCTCTACTTGAAAAGGATGGACTTCTCTTTCTCTGTGTGTGTGTGTGTGTGTGTGTGTGTGTG